AAGGACATTCATACTTCTAAGAACCGGAAGAGGTGTTTGAGAATGTATAATCATACTAATGAACAAGTTCAAGATCGAATGCGATAGTGTCTTTTAATGCTATACGAACTAATAATAATACCTAAAAATTAAAAAATAAATTTTAACATTTTAAATATATAAAATTAGTTTATTTTAATACATACTTTTGCAAAGCAAAATCTATCAAACTTTTTAAATTCATCCTGTTCAGGGTCTATATGAATAGAAACATTACTGAACATTAGTTCATTGTAAAAATTTTTTGTAGCCCTTACTCGTTCTTTATTAGGCAAAACAAAAGACTCATATAAAATAAAAGTTAATTCAGATTCTTCAATTTGTCTTTTAACTGTTGGTACAAGATTAAAATAATCATTCATAGCAGGAACAAGATTATGTAACTCTTTAAGAATTTCAGGAACATATACTTGTTCATATTCGTATGATTCAATGAGTAACTTTAAAAGGTATAGTGATATAGTACAATATTTTTTACCAAATTTGGTTAAACCTTTTTTAGCATTAGGTCTTTCATTATCATTATGCATTATTATTTGTTCATGAATGTTTTTAAGTATGAGAGTTCATATTACCTAATGATATTAGTTATATATTAATATAAAATTACATAATAGAAATACTATATTATCAGGGTTAAAATTTTAAAAAGAACCTTCTATAAAATTTGTATGTTAATATTGCATTTGTTAGACATTCGATAGGGTGTTTTTATATACTATTTGTGAAGTGCTTCATATGTCTTAGCACTCAATCTATTTAAATTTCTATACTTTTTAATAGTATCAATTGTATGGTGTATCTAATGATGGAATTTTGGAAATTGACAATCATTTTTCGTAAATGAACTAAGAATATTAACAAAATTTTTTGCCCATTTTTGAATTAATATCTATAAAAGTATTTATTAGAGCTAGTGATATTATTCAAACTATTTAAGATATGATAATTAGTTTTTATAATTTTTAATAAAGTAAATTAAGGGTAGGGTGTACGTAGATCATTTTTCATATGATCTGCATGGTAGATTGGATTTTTACATAGTAAAGAAAAAA